ATTATCAACAATCAAATTCTTAAATACTACCTCCAGTCCTTAATATATGATATTGTTTGACTTTTGTTTTGATTCTAAATATAAAATCCTAATATACTTTGTCTCTTATATTTATGTATTTTTTCTCAATATAGTTATTTTAACAATAATAATTCTAACTAATATATTTGATTAGCAAGGATATTTTAGAAAAAAACAATATCTATTTATTGCAAATAACTAATTTAACTTCTTTCTTTAATCTTCTCAAATTAGTCAATTAGTTCTTATAATTAGGACCGGAAGTAGTAAGTTGTTATAAATCACGTTGTTTTCCTCTGCTTCTTTTTTTGGATAACTCCATACTATTTGATTCATCATCTTTATTAGTGTCTCTAATGACCTTCTTGGTACATACCCATGCCACCTTAACTGGTTTTCAAGTATTTTCTCTTTAATAGGCATTGAGACCAAAAAAAAATCCCAATACATACAGCTTTTCCGTGAATACTTGGTGAAAACTGCTCTTAACCCATTTTTTTATTCAAGCCTTATATATAGAGTAATTATTAATTTTTTCATTTCCAACATTTTATGAATTAAAAATATCATGAATTACAGTGAGAATGCGGGATTAATAAGGATAAAAAGAAATATAATATTAAGCTAAATCAGATAAGTTAAATTAGTGACTTTCTAAGGTATTATTACATCCAAATATGCTGATTATCATGAGCACCGTTCCACAATTACGTGAGAGGATCATGTTCTGCCCAATGATGCGTTTTTCTTTTCGGGACCACCTTTTCGACAAAGGGGATGTTTGGATACCCTTAAAAGTGCTTCTCAGAAGTATTTTTTCACAAATCGAGATAAACTCCTCCATATATTTATCTCGTAGACCGTAAAATCACTTCTGAAACCATGGTTTGGTTTTTATCCAAACACCCATAAAGTGAAATGCTGTAGCAAACTCCAGTTTCATTTCACGCTGGGAAACATGATTTGAGGGTTTTTTTAAAAAAAAAAATATTATCTCTCATTCCTAATATTATCCCGTCCTAATTATAAAATCTTATTTATAGCTTATAAACAGAGTCTTATAATCAGAGCAGAAGTTAATACTATAAAAGCTAGATAAAAGTTCTAAATATATTAAACACCAAGTGTAGTGCAATTTAAACTGGCACATAACATAAATATATCAATATCAAGTGTAAACTGATACCTCATTTAAACATGATTAGTAACGCTGCCATTGTGAGTGGCTTTCAGTTTGGTTGTCCTCGGTTCAAGCTTCTTTTTTCCCCCTTGTCATTGCCATCAATACTAATATAATCATCAATATAACAATATTAATGTAATTAATCATGATTTGATGAAATATAAGAAAAAGGCCTTTTTAAAATGAGACCGAAGTTTTGAAATGGAAAAAATCATCTGAAAAATCAACTTAAATATAAGTCATTAATACTAAATATCAAATATAACAAAAATAGCAAATCCTTATCTCACCAAGTGGAGTCTATAATATGGATCAAATAACGTCATTGACCTTCTCCATGACTACTGAATATCAAATAATTATGTAAAAAAATAATAATATAAGATATAAAATCTATAATAAATTATAAGAAAAATTAGTCATTTAGTTTTTATAATTTGGACTTTATTGTAATTTGTGCTCTGATAAATTTAATTCGATACAATTCAATTCTTATAATATTGATTTGGTTGAAACTCAGTCTCTCAACTTTAACATCATAAGCAACATAACTCATTTATTAATATGTATCTTACACGTGTATATACATATAAGAGAGGGTTTGTTGAATCAAGTAGGAAAGTGTAGTGTGTGTCTTGTACCATTTGTTAGGAAACAAAAGCAATGGTTAGGTTCATTCTATGACATATGATTGAAAGATAAAGCTTATCCATTCGCATAAATCTCAATTAGACTTAATAATGTACGCCTTCATGGATCACTCATTATTATTACATCCACGTGGATATATGGGTGGGTGAGGATTGAATCTATACTTGCCCCTTTTCTAGTTAACTTTATGAATTATCTAACTTCTTTATCATGTTATACTATCTTTGATCCTTAATATAAAACATAATTGATTAATTTAGAAAGATCAAGAAAGTTAAATCAAAAAAGCTATAATGAAGAAGATACAACAACTAACTCCCAGCAGCAGTATAAGTAGACGGTAACTATTTTATTAAAAAAAATTATATTTTATGTAAAATGAAAAATATCCTACGCATTTTTCTTTTTTAACATAAAAATATTTATCTCATGAAACACTTATAATCATAGAATGAGTTTTGGTACTCATCATTTCGATGAGCATTTTAAACTCATCAGATCTGAATCGTCCATATCTCATTTGGATGATCCAGATTTAATTTTTTTTATTTGTATTTGTTCAAAATAATTATTTTAATATGTATACAATATAAAATAGAGATAATCTCTTAATTATCATTCTTTCAAAAAATAGTTTTTTAATTTAGAAATAAATAATTAAAGATTTTAAATCTGAATCATTTAAATAAAATATAAACGGTTCAGATATGATGAGTTTATGATGCTCATCACTGTTGATGAGTACTGAAATTGATTCCATTCCACATGGACAAAAAGTAATAATTTTAAATTTATTATGTAGAGTATATTTTCATGAGGGGAGATTTATTAATAAAAATAGGAAAATGGATTGGGGCGGAGTTACGACCACATGAGGAGACTAGTTGACAGTTATGTTGTCCAATTTACGAATCCCATTCTTAAGCCAGAAGTCTAGAAGTGGGTCCACTAAGTAAAGTGATCCTACTTTGCTTCTTAATGGGACATTCCATTGTTAATCAATATCTCCCCTTTCCTTTTCATTGAAAAAAGTTTATAAGAGATTATTCGTAGAAATTTATTAAGAAAGAAAACGCCTTACAGTTTTAAAGATACCTACCTTCGATTTCTAAACATTAGAAATAATTGAGAGATGTATTTTGATGTTAAATATATAACTTTAATTTATTTTGTCTCACAAATTTATAAATTTTTTAATATAATTATATTGCTTGATTTTGCTAAAGAGGGTTTTATTAATGAAAGTAGTTTTTAATATAAATAATTAAATAATATATTTTAAAAAAACTAACACACAATTATTACAAATAAATATTTTAACTAGTTTTATTAATATTTACAAACTAGTTATACAGCTCATACATTTATGACAGAAGTAAATAATTTATATTTATTAAAAAATAGTTCATTTTTTAACCCCAAAAAAATCATTTGAAGCCCTCAAATAGAGTTTTCCAAAAATCACAAGATGTGTCACTTTTAAAGTTGTTTGGATAGAATCAAAATTATGATTTTAAAAGTACTTTTACAGTGTACAAAATAAATATATGAAGAAGTTTGCTTCGTTTTACGAAAAAGTGCTTCTAAAAACCACTTTTGGGTGCTTCCAAACACCTCCACAGTTAAAACCATCTAAACATGTTCAAAATCCTAGTATTAGTAATAGGATATAAGCGCCAGTCCTTGTGTTATAGACCAGTTTCTTATCAGTTGAAATAGGCATAAATGTTTTCTCTTTAGCAATGAAAGGAGGTGGATAGTTATTATGATAACGACAATGGGTATCATAGAGTCATCATAAGAGGCAATAGGAAGGGTAGGACATTAAAAACTCATTTTGATATGATGCACTATGAATAATATAGTTCGTATATACTACTACCTTTGGTGCTTAGTATAAAATCTAATTTAAACTAATTCTTTAAGTCCTTAGTATACTATAAAATCTACTTTAAACCAAATTTTATATTAAAAACTGAAGGTAGTATTTTTTTAGTTACATAGTTGATATATTGACAATAAACTTTTGACAATTATATTTAAAAATTCCCGGATGAAAAATAACATCACTGTATTTTGTGTTTTCTCTAAAGTCATAAGTTCAAATTTCGCTACTATGACTAATGTGAGAACTTTATTGATGAGTAATCTGTAACTATCTCTATAAACATTTTCTGAGCCTACAGACATAAACTCACATAAACTTTTTTTATACGAAAAGATATTACTATCAATAAAAACTGCCCTTAAAGTGTTTATCCTATTTTTCGAATAAGATATCATAACATGAAAATTTCTGTTTTTAATTGTCTTTCTACTTCTAACACTTTAGACCATTTTTGTTTGACTTCTTTCAGTGAGTAAAACATTAAAAAAAAAAAAAGAAGAGACAGAAGCAGTAAATGATCCAAATTATCAGCCCATCTCCAAGGAGTGTGGAAGCCATCAAGCTTGTGTCCAAAAATGAAAGAAAACAGCCAGAATGTTGTGGTCTCTTTAGTACAAGGAAAATAAATAAAATACAATCAAAAAATGAATAATGTAAAAGACGTAAAATAGCACCCATCTTTATTTCTAAAAAGTAAATTAAAATACGTTTTTCCTTTTCCGCGGGCAAACATAGGAACATGAAGTGTTCCGTTACATATAACACCATCAAAAGTTAAAATAAAGCAGCACACTATCCGAAGCAAATTTCCGCTACTAACCAAGAAAACCAAAAAGGTCAGAACCCAAACATTAAAACGGGGAGGGGATAACAAAATTGTAACATCTACTTCAAAACAAAAGAGATGAGACTAAGAAATTTTTCTTCAGACTACCCTAGTACGAAAATGACCAACTTGAGCTTTTCACTAACTGAAGCCAGTACCCAGAAGTTTTCTTCAATGACCTGCTGAAAATGGCCATATGATCTTTTTATTGTGCGTTCCTAAAACACGAACATTTTGAAGGGACACCAATCTTTGATCACACAGGCTTTTCTACTCTTTCAGGCACTAAAAAAATTTTGTCATGCCACCCATGACCATATTTGTGTGAATATTCAATGCTTCACATGTGCAAGCAAGGTTCTCAGATAAAAAAGGTGGATCATAAACAATAAGTAGTTATTTATAGTCTACCTACGATGGTAAAGAAGAAATACATCAAATCTGCATAAAAACAATCAGATATATTCATATAATGTCCTTGTTGCCAATGACTACTTAAAAACACAATTAACAGGAAGATTAGACACAGTAGGAATAAGCACTAGCAAAACTTCAAATTATGTCTGCATTGTCATTCATGTTCAGTTGACTAACACAGGCAACCAACGTTCTTAACTTTAAAATTTTTATCAAACATTCTAAACCTTGTCTGTCCTGTTTGGTTGGAGATCCTCCAGAGCTTCTAAACTCTAGCCCTCTTATTACTGCAGCTAGGGCACTTATATTGCTTGATGTGTTCAGCCTTAGCAGGAGTGATTTTCACACATTTGCCATGGAACCATCTCTCACACACATCGCAACAGATCCAGAACTCGTCAGTGCCATAATTATCACCGCATGCTCCACATGTTGCCCCTTGTTCATCATCATCTTCTTCTTCTTCTCCGCTCTCATCCTCTTCTTTGGGAGGAGGAGACATTTTCACTCCCTTGGCCTGAGAGCCAGATTGGGAGGACTGATAAGGAGCAGCATTCAAACAGCAAGACCAAAGAAACTTTTCAAAATGGGAGGTACCAGAAAGATAAACTAAGAACATTAAGTTGAAACTTGCTTACCACCTTCCCACTTGACTTGCTTTTGCTACCATTGTTGTGAGCAGCTGACTGATCCTTTGATTGCTTGGCGCTTCCCGTCACAACTTCAAATATGGTTGGGAGATCATTTATCATCTGAAAAAGCCTTTTCCTGCAGATATCAATGAGAAGCCAAATCAGAAGTATCATCCAATTAGAATGTCACATAAAACCTTTGACCCTGATATTTTCAGGATTTCTAGAAATATATCAATTCTTCCTGGCTCCTTCCAGAATTTTTCCCCTTTTGTTTGCTCCTCTTTCTTTTGGGGCAAAAGAGATATCAGTTATCACTACTCTGATTGGTCTAAGTTATTACTTCTTCTGTCTAATCATATGACTCATTGTCAACAGTATTGGCCAAATGGGATTATATGGTGGACTGAAATGGGACCCAGAAGAAGATATTAAACTGCCTTCGCTCTGCCAGATATGAGCCAAAATTTTACACATCAACCATGCAATTGATGTAGCAGTGAGACAACAAGCATGTGCGTGGAAGATCACAGACTAACTATAAGACCATAAATTGCTGGTCTCTTGACTGCGCAACTCATGTCAGGCCAGAACAGTATCCTATCAGGATTCAAGACTTCCTCACAAAATACAAGTGAATACAACAATAGCATACAATAAACAATACTGCTGTCTAGATATATATCAACAACACCAGTTATTAGAAACTCAATAAAACCTACTAAGTTTGACCACATGATTTCCAAGACCCTGTATCAACATGAAACTCCCAAGGTAAACTCATTTAGGGGGGGGGGGGGGGACATTTTTCTATTTAGGTGGACATTCAACTCCTAGCATAATATATTAATGCTAACAGAACATTAGAGCATCATGGCCAAAATTTTCACTCCAAAGTCACTTCAAATAAACCTAAACATTTCATCAGATTCAACAAATAGTTAATATAATACTCCCTCCGTTCCTTATTATAAGAGACATTTGATGCTTATAGCATGTTCCTATATATAAGAGACACTTACAAGTTGTCTCTATTTTTTTGTGTTGATTTACTATTTTACCCATATTTATTATCTCCAACTCACACTCTCTTTCCCTCCCACTTCTCTTTCTTTTAATAATTTAATTGTTCTCTCTCATGCTCTCTCTCCTTATTAATGAGGGTATTTTTGGAAAAAAAATTATACTTTTTACACATTAATTGTTCTTAACTAATTTTAACTGTTTTTTTGATCAACGTACTTCGGTTATTTGTCTCTTATAATAAGGAACGGAGGGAGTATCAGTAAATATCCCAATTAGCGTTATAGAACTAACATGTGAAATGCAGGAAGTTCCCGCAAATAATAATTTATCACGAAAAAGAAAGAAGACCTCTGCAACAATAGAAGACTTGTAAAGGGAAAAAAAAAAAAATCAGACTATAACTTTCAAACCAATATTTATTTTACTTTTAAAAGCATGATATATTCGAAAACAATACTTTAAACACAGAGTGACAGTTTTTTAAAGGGAAAAAAGGAGGAACTTTAACGTAGTGGAAGGCAGTAAAACTAATGAGCTTGATCCTAAGCTCCACCATAAAACTAATAGTAAGCATGACAGATAAGATATTAAAGGAAGATTTGAATGCTTTATTATATATTCCCCAAATCATTATTAAGCATTACAGGACATTCAATCAGATTATTGTGCGAGAACATCAATCATATAAAGTTTTTAATAACTTGAACTTAATTTTTATTCATTACATCACCAACCTCCCCATTCTTATAGCAACTAAACATAGAACATTCACATCAACATTCAATAGAAAAAGGAAAATAACTAATCTGACCTTAAATCATGACCCGCAGCTTCCCACTGAAGATTTAAAACCTCATCTCAAAAATAAGTTTAAGACCTCATACAGTTCCAAGGTCTATGTCACTAAAACAGTGCTAGTGATGAAAATTGAAGCAAAAGAATCGTTAATACAAAGTCAGAGAATTATTAGCGCTTCATTAAGATACTTTATTGGAAAATGAAAGAGGATAATTCATAAGATATGCACAGCCAAAGCACAAAAATAAGGGCCTTTCATCCAAATGACCAGCTTTAGCACTTTGAATAGTGTCAACAAAGAAAAAATGAGTATCCAGAGCCACAATGACATTTGAGCAGTATAAGGAATAAATTAGTAAGGATCTCTCTTTATTATTCATACATTATGATAAAGATGCAAATGTCCTCACAAAAATGCATATTATTGAAGATTTTGAAAATTAATCAAAAAACTACACTGCTGCTTTCTTTCTTTATTTTGCAAACAAAATTAAGAGCACACTAAGCTTATAATAATATTTCATCCACACAACCCCTCATCCATGGGTTCAGTAGGCAAAGGGGTTGGACACACTCACTGAGGGAGCAGGTTCAACCCTAAAGCACGTCGCAGCGCTGAGAGAGGCATCTTTAAAGCCAAGGCCTCAACTTGTAAACAACAGGGTCCTGCAAGGCTAGGGTTAAGGGTTAATTGCTCTGTCTTTGGATCATGGGTGACCCAACCCCTTTCCTAAAATTTGATCACCAAAAGAATAACAACAATACAACAACAACAATAATAATATTTCATCCACACAGGACGAACTGAATAAATTGAAAACTCCCAACAACCTAAAAATGTTAAAGAAGTCTATGATTTGCAAGACCAAACAAACCAAAACAAGCTTGATCCAGAGAACCCAAACTAAAAGCATTGCTCAATGTAAGACATCTACTGGAAAACTCCAAGTGTTGGGTGGAATTAGGTTGATAAAGACAAAATTCTAAAGTTTATATGTGTGAAGATCAAGAAATCTTACCTTTCATTCTTACCAAATCCAAAGCGGGCACCAAAATAGAAAGACACAGCAAGCAGCCATGAGTCACTGTGAACTGCAACCAGTGACAACCAATCCTTCTCTTGCATCCCATCCCTCGCAAAGTTTATACCTAATGCTGGCTCAGGAAGTTCAGGAGGCACTTCCTCAACAGGCAAATTCACTTCCCATGTTTCATTTGGTAATCCATATAGACACAAGTTCTCTTTCTCTACAATACAAGCAAATTTGTTTTAACTAACGCACGCAAAATTAAATATTATCAAACATTCTTACAGCAAATTAATTTACAGATGTCAAATTAACAGAAATTAAAGAATGCGTTTTTCCAATAGACCATCAACAAGGCGTGATGTTCAACTCCAAAATTACAAACGTACATGCAACAATAGCAGACCCACCTCCACGATAACCATAAAGCTTACTTTGGAAGAGCAAGTACCAGAAAGCATACGAAATTAGACAGAAAGCCTTTTAACTTCAGATCAAAAGGTAATGGATTAAAAGCAAAACACAAAATTAACCTAGTCTCAAGGCAACATGAGATATTTGTACGTCTTTTAAGCATCTAATTTTCATCTGACTCTTCATTAAGAGGCCAAACATACAGTACCTAGGAATTCATAGACAACAACTCAATGGTCAACAAATTAAAATTTCATAGCAACTTATAACCCTAAGCCAAAGGTGAATAAAGGCAACCCGTGAAGTTTAATGGAATCAACGTCTCAAGATTTTAAGCTAAAAAATTTAATGATACAAGGATAATTTGTTTCTCCTTAAGCAATACAATGCTCTGAATCTCTGATAATAAAGTGTATCATGTCAAAAGGTGTATAATGTCAAGCATGCCGACTGTTTAAGTTACCAAAGCATTTTCAGAAAAGGAAATAAAAAGGTGAGTAACTGTCCATCATCAATAAAAGAATCGGAAATTCGACTCCAACTCCTGACATGTATAACAGTTGCACTTCATTACCATCTCAAACCCATGTGGACAGAAAATTCTTGTGTAATTAGGCAAAGAAGATTGCGCAAGTGTCCATGGTCAAGCCAAAAACAAGGTGCACAAGAGCACTCATGTCTGCACATTAGCATAACGTATGGTTCACATGACTGACTGCCCAATTTTCATACAGATAAGCCTAAAACTCGGCCAACATGAGCGCACAGGTCTTCATATAGATAAGCCCAACACTCGACGGACATGCATGACCCAAAGAATTAGTATATGCGACCAAAAGAAAACGTGACTAACACTCCAACTCTGCTCTCCGAACAGGCGAGAACCCTGAAGGGTAACAAATGCATCACATTAAGTAGAACGGAAAGGCAACTATAAAACACCAATTACACCCAAAAATAAATCATAAGGAGAAAGAATCAACACGCTGCATGTAACCCAAATCGTTCGGTAACTAGTGTCAGCTTATAGCAGAGTGACAATCAAGTATCAGTTCGATGAACCAGAAATTCAATGAAGTAAAAGAAACACAACTCCTCTCTTTGCTTTACCCCAACAAACAGAGATATACCGAAAACTACCCAAAGTCAAAGTTGCAGTTACAATGTGAGAGAAGAAGCCCCATCAGGCGAACAGTTAAAAGCGCAATAAATGTAGTACAATTACCATCAGTCAAATAAACAAAACAACAGAGAACGGGAATTCCCGATAAATAAAAACAATTGAGACATTCAAGTAACCCACCAGGATCGCACTGCTGGTAGAACTTTTCAACATCTGCAACCAGAAGAACCCATAGAGAAACTGAGTAAACACACAAACATAAATTAACATGAAAAAGAAGAAGAGAACAGAGAAAAAATAATTAGCGAACCAGTAGTGAGGGCCTTAATTAATCCAGCTCTTCTTCCCTTAAAGTCGCTGAAAACCTCCTCCACTGTTCTCGGTATTGGGTGCGGTATGCTTTCCATTGTGTCTCAGAGCAGAGCACGGAACAATCTTCCAAATTTGAATTATATATAACCTAGCCAAAGAAAACCCAGTTTGAATTCACGACAACGACTACAGAATGCTGCTTCTGACCGGGAATTCTAAAGCTAGTCAAACTAACCAGAGAAAGGAAACGGATTCAGAAAACCCCCCCTTTGGTATGTTACGAATAGTTGCTGGCTAGGGTTTCTTCTTCTTCTTCTTCTTCCCCTTTGTTCAATCCGACACCGATTTCGGGAAAAGGAGCTTCTCTATCCAAAATTAACACACAGACAAAGACTGAATGAAAGAGGAAAGGAGCATTGGGAAGGCATAATATAGAATTTAAAAAGATGGGTTTGAGACTTGCGAAGGAAAGAAATCTGGGGTCATGGAAAAGCAGTAGAAAAATAAAAATAAAAAGGAATGTAACGCTAATCACAGCCTTTTGATAATTATACAAGTTTACGACCCAACCTGATTGCTATTTCGTAGGTGTCCTATATTGGGGAAGTGGTCAGGTCAGGGGTGATTCTTATTTATTACTCGTTTCATTTTTTATTATAAGAGATAAATAATCAAATTGTGTTATTAAAAAAATAGTTAAAATTAGTTGAAAACAATTAATATGTAAAAAGTATAATATTTTTTCCAACAATACCCCTATTAATAAGGACAGAGAGTATGAGAGAGAACAATTAAATTATTAAAAGAAAGAGAAGTAGGAGGAAAAGAGAGTATGGGTTAGAGACAAAATAAATGAGAGTAAAATAAGAAATTAATACAAAAAATTATAGACAACTTTTAAGTGCTTCTTATATATAGAAATATATCATACACATCAAATATCTCTTATAATAAAAAACAGATGGAATATTATTTACTATTATTATTATTATTGCGGAGTACTATTATTTTTAATGATTTTTATGAAGCGAAAAAATGTGTCCCGTGTGGGTTTGAAGTTCGGAGTTCGGACGCCTTTGCCTCCAAAAGCGGGTCACTGTGCCCCTTTTTTTGTTTGGGGTCAAAACTGTGACCTTTTTCTTGTACGGGTTAGGAAAGAGGGGGAAAATGCAGAACCAAGCAATGTTGCTTTCGTGGGACACGTACTGCATTTATTATGGATAAATTTCCTGCTAAAATATTGTAACAATCGTTTTATTTTATATTAATTACATAATTTTTTATAAAAAAAATATGCACTTTAGTTTAAGTCATCAACACCATTAAAAAAATATTCTAAAAAATTTTAATTGAAAATTATATTAGAGTTTTTTTGACAACTATATGAAAGTAAATCTTATTTAGTGGTTTATATCTCTCATCATAGCATATTTTTAATTTATTTTGACAATTTTTTTATCATTTACTAATTATTTTTTAATATTTACGAATATACATTTAATGAATTATATTTATAAAATTATAGTATATATATGAAATAAATCATTTTAAAATCTTATCGATATTAATATAATATGCTCACAATTATATTTTTACAACCTTAAAATATTACATTATAAATAATTTTAAAGATATGGGATTAAATATTTTAGAATTGTTGGAAAATCAAAATACTCTCTTAGTCTTATTTATTTAGCACTTGTAAAAGTAATTTTTGTGTGTTTTTCTTAGAATCACAGAATATTTTTTTCTTTTCTAAAGTTCCAATGCCAAAACTTGAAGTGACATTTTAAAAGGAATAGAGAAATCAACAAAGATTAAATGGGTGTTTGGGAAACCCAAAACCATGGTTTCAGAAGCACTTTTCCGCAAAACGAGCTAATCTCTTCCACATATTTACTTCGTAATCCATAAAAGCACTTCTGAAACCATGATTTGGTTTCTATCCAAACACCCCCTAAGTTTCATAAAAGGAACTATTTCCTAACAGAGTAGCAAACCAAGGTTGAATTCTCATTGAAAGAATACTTACATTTAGTGTCTAACAACGCTTTCCATTAGAAGGACATCTATGTGAAAAAAAAAACTGAGGAAGTATATCCAAAACAAATTTTGAATATTGAGTTTATTGGAATTTGAACTAAATTGATCGAGACTAAGGATTCAAATCACATGAATAAAAGGAACTATGTTACAAATCAGCATATCTAAATTTCATTCGAGAAATCTTATGATAAGGTTGTACAAATGTTAATTAAAACATGGTGGGAAAAAGTTGTTTTGATAAGAGGACGTAGCTGCTATCTTGGCTAAAAGTTAGAACATTCGTGGAAGACATCGTATCGCAGCCCCTAAATAATCACACGATACACGACCATTAGTGTATTTTGGGAATAGCATTAGAAAGAGTCAGTTAGGATAAAAAAAAATTTGTTGGATAAGAAAATAATGTATAGTTTCAGGGCTAACCGATTTTCCGGCCAAAAATTATTTTAAGGTTAAAAGAACTTTTTTTGACTTTTTTTTTAAAAAAAATTTTGAAACTAATTTCTTAATATATAATCCAATCAAGTTTACGTCTGATTTTTTTTTAAAAAAAATTTATCCAAATATAAATCACATTATTTTAATTGAATTTTACCCCATTATATCTTTGTAAAAATTAATTAAAATAAAAATCAATTTTACCATCCTAATTCAAGCAAGGTCTGGCCATCTTACGGAACCATTGCCGATAACACAGACAGATCTGTCTGGACACAAAACAACATGGCAGCAAAACTAGAATTGCGAGGGGGATGTCAGACACAGGGAGGGCCACAATCCTTTGATAAGCCCTTTTCAAATAACAGTGTTGGACTTATGGGTGGCTCTATTATAGGCTGAAAATTTAAGAAAGGCCCCAGAATAATTAGGTAACTATTTGATACATAATTAGATTTAAAAAAGGGTAAGTTATGGATCTATCTATTTATCTGAGTTCAAAAAGTAAAAGTGGTCAAAGGTGTGAAGTTTTCAAAAAATAGAATGATGGCTTAGATTTTTTTTATTCATGAAAAACTCCATTCCGTCTCGTACTCCCAATCCTCATCATCAACGTGAATTTTATGCAAAACAAGAATTTTATTGATATTTGACTTCGTTATTTGATAATTTGGTCTTCATGCAAGTTGAATATTGGATCAATTCCTGAGATTAGCCTTCAAAAATAGTCTGGATTCGTATGCAAATTGGAAAATGGGTTGATTATTTAACTTGGGCAATTGATATTCTGGACTCTCCGCATATTTTGATGGAAATTTTCTTATAACTTTGAATTATCACTTAATTATTGATGTAAATTTATGACAACATATGTCAAATTGTGATTGGTGGTAACCTAATTACAAGGAGAATTTCATTGTTGGAGTTCTCAACTGCATAACGAAGTCATAATTTTAGTGATGTTTTCGTATTGCTGTTGGGCTTTCGTAGCGGATCATTCCTGTCAACTCTTCCACAAGGTTCAATTTGAAAAACAAATTGGACAATTTACTAGGTTAATTGTTTTCTCCAACTAAATATCCATAGCCCCAATGAAACATAACTTGAAAAGATGGTTCAATATTCAACAATAATACCAATATCAATATATCAATTATAAATATAAAAGGTCACATCACTTACAAGTCATGGGTTGCTCTTAAACTTGGCCAGTTGGCCTGATCATTTTAATTTTTCCACCTTCCTCTTAAAATTCAACAGAATACATATTTCACATATTTCAAAAAAATTTAAAATAAGAAAAATACACACACGCACACATTTAATCCCTAAAATATCACTGTTATTGTAAGACTTAATTTAGTTCAATAGAAGATAAAAATGAAGCTTGTCAAGTTCAGCCTCAGTGTGTGTGTATGTGTGGGGAACAGTATTTGCCTTTTCCCTGAGCAAAATATTCAATAGGCAACAGGCATCTCTCAACTAATAAACAAAATCGAAGTGATCTGAAGTAGCTCAAGTGTTGTCATATTCATACAATGGTATTTGCCTCCGCATATTATAAAAAAAATTATTGAGATACTGTCTAGCAGAGTCCCTGAACTGATTTGAAAGCCATAAAATAAACTATAAAAGATGTTACTACAAAGAGTCAAAAGAATAATAAGCATTTCACATAGAAGCCTGATTTCTTCAGTTACTTGTAATATATGATGCAGCTATAGTTCTCCAAAAAATGTAAGATGTAATCATTCATTATCACCACTATTATTATAAAACTATTTCTTAAAATAGACCACATAAGCCATAAGGAGAATTTTATAACTCATTGTTATAAATGAAAAAAAAAAAAAAGAATTTTATAACCCATTAGTGTATTTATGGATAAATAAATAAATAGACAGATAATCATAAGAGAAGACAGAACTCACGATGGCCTTAACAGGAGCTTTTGCAAGCAAGCCATCAGCCAATAAAGCAGAATTAAAAAGCTCCCAAGCAACATACTTGAATCGAGGGATCAGCTGCATTGATTACATATGTCAACTTTAGAGAAAAATAATAATAATTGAAAAAAAACTGCTAGAATTCCTAAATTATAAGTCGCACGCCTATTTGCACATGAGTTGTCATTTTATCTGCTTCCACGTCAAGTTCAGGACAAAAATGTAGCAACTTTTAATAGCACTATACGAATTTGAAACCAATGACAGAATTACCTTGATATCTAGCTTTCAAATTCCGGAAGGCCGCTACTTCACATCTAACTGAAGGTTGAGGCCCACACTGAATCAAATGTCAATTTCAGCACAGCTTGAGTGTATGAACTTTGAAAAAAGACATGTTAACCCTATTTCACCATTACATTTCACATCAAAATGTTGCTCATACAATACAGCAACTCATTATCAAAAAATGGGACAATTATTTCTATCAACCGAGTGTAAGAATAAATAGTCCCCTAAAACAGGAGTCTAAAGAATGAACATCGAAAAAAATAATAATTATGATAGTGTAAAGAATCAATCATACAAACAAAAAATTATATCCAAATCGTATTCTCAAAATGATATGGTGCAGGGCCCAAAAAATGGTGACAGGCTTCCTCTTCCACTACACATGTTTCTGCTGAAGCTGTATCAAGGCTTCCCCTGGTATCCCCATGGATTGTTGCTTGCCCATTTCCACTGATCCCTGCAAATTTCCTCAATGCCGTATTTTGCCCTGGCAAAAGGCGCATGTTCCATAGGAAATATCATAAGATGCTAACGAAAGGTATACCACAGCCTGCTTATTAAATATTCAATGATAACGAAGCATCCTATAGATAATTAGCTTTTTGGCCCATAGAAGCCTTATTAAAAAAATACGAATAGCTTAATGATTTGAATAAACCTGACTTTTTGTCTACAAGAACTAGTATGAAATACTTACTTCCATCCTAGTTCCTTCTGAGCCTTCTCTGTAGATGCATAAACAACAGTAGCATCTCCTGGCCTCCT